TCATAAACAGGATACGCTGGCTGCAATAATGTTCTTACATCTCACACTCCCCTTCCACCCCAACACAACCCAAAGTCCAAAGGGGGAGTCAGCCATCTCACATTCACAAAATCAAAATACTTCGTGACTTTCTCATTAATGAGGAGTCGTAATATTTCACAGATTTTATTTTCCAGTGGTAAGATTAAAAATTTCAAAGGCAATGCCTTTACTCGTGAAAAACTTAGCCCCTCTAACGGTGTTAACTTTAGATTACAAGTTGGTGATGGCAATGATTTTTATTAAGACTTCCAACAAAATAGTCAACCCCTCCCCATCTCCCACACTGAATCTTTCAACAGCAGTATATGCTACTAAAAATAACAAGAAATGTTCTTAAAAGAAATGTGCTAACAATAGTTTCACAGAGACATGTAAGTGTATTTTGGAAAAGTAAAGTGAGGTGACTCAAACAACTCATTAACAAAACCTTTGCCTAGTGTCTGGTAGGCATTCCAGGTTTTAGGATATCCAAAAGATTGAGAGCATCAAATCTCCCATTCCATTCATGACTTAGCCCTTTTGTATGGAAGCTTCCACTTCACCCCAACACTCCTGAACAGAAAGTGCATATGGGCCATCTCCCATTAAGGAAATTATTGGAGCAGGAGAGAAATACGGATTTTAATAACAATAAATGGAATGATCCCATCTCCACCCTTTGCCTCCAATCTCCCAGATAAAGGAAGAACCAGACCAGATACAAGAAAAGAAACATAAATTAGCAGGGAGTTGGAAAATGACCCTGGATCATGGGTCCAATAACAGATGGCCCACAGGGTTCTCAACACCAAGTCACAGGAAGCAGAGATGCCTCCCTGCCTTATGCTGGGGAATCTGGGGAACCTGGAAGAAGCAGAGATTGGGCTCCTTCCCTTCAGAGCCAGGCTGACATTGTGGGGATTGCCTTTACGGGTAGCCATAAGTGTACTGAGTGTAGCTTGATGCCAGAGCGCTTGAGGAGGGACATCCTTCCTTCCCTACCACCCAATCAAGGTGCTTCAAGTCCATAGGGACATTTGATTGTAATGACACAGGGCTTGAGTTCCTATTTCACTAGTTAAGGTAGGCTCACCATGAAGGCTGCCAGCACACATCATCATTTTCCTTCTGAGATTTAGGAAGAGCAGACGGGTGTTGATCACAGCAACACACAAGCCACACAGTACAACAAACTGACAGACAGATGGTGGGGAGATTAAAAAAAGGTTAAATAGATAATCAAAATGGTGGAAATGATTAAAAATCACACCAAAGAGAAATCAGCCACAGAAGAATCTTGAGTAACACATCAAAACTGGGAAGAGGGATCACGAGGGCTCTCTCTTCCCTTTAAGATGAGAAGCTTCACAAAGAGTCAAAGACAAAAACCCACAGAAGCTCTCTTTCAGGACTGGTGAATAGTCCCACAAAAAATAAAAGGGAATGTACAACGATAGGACTTCTACTTTACTACGTATTACTTGACACATATCTGCAAATCCCAATGCAATCCTCCACCCCTTGGGAAGTATTTTGTTTGAAACAAATGGTCGGTGTTGTCCCTGGGTTGATCCTTAGTGGCACAGGGGAAAGGGGACCAACAGGTTTGCTAATGGCACCTCAAGGGGGCTGGTAGAGTCACAATATCCTTTCCCACGGCCAGACAAACCCATCTGTGCCTTCTTCTTACAAACCACAGATCCTCCCCAAGCTCAAGGGACTTGCAGCTGAGTCCAAACAGCTTACCTGGGTGGACTATTACCAGCAACTGTCTTTATTGTTAGTTTAAGAGTCCTTAACCCAGCAGGCCAAGCAAGAAGAGACAGAGAAATAATCAGACCAAAGCAAATGAAAAGACCGAGGTAGAAAAATTAAATAAGAAAAGCAAAGTTGGAGATGATGGGGGTGGGGAGGGTAGACAATAAAATTAACTACTGAAATGCACATTTTGCTTGAAAAGAACGTGAACATGTATAATTACACTAAGGAACTGAAAGAAGGCAGATTAGCCCAGCTTCATTTAAATAACTATAATATATCAAGACGTGGGTTCAGAGAAATGTTTTCACAGATACATTCAAGATATAGAGTTCATTGCAACAGTGTTTGAAGGAGCAAAGAGTTGAAGGCAACCTGCGTGCCCATCAACTGGGGAGTGGAAAAGTAAATATAAATTCACAGCAAGTGCTCACAGAATGGTAGTGCATGTTTTCCAGAGATACAGATACATGTAAAAAAGCACATGAGGGTGGATTAGAACACACCATAAATAACCAAGAGTGGGCACCTACAGGAGACGCTTCGCGTGGACCAATGAGGGTTCCACTCGTGTGACATACGGAAGAATGTGAGGAGCTCAAATCTGTGCAATCAAGGTGCACAAAGTTAAAATAATAATTTTCAAAGACTCTGGATCATTCAACAGTTAAATCAGAAAGTAAAAAGTCTTTTTTTTATTGTTGTAGTTTAAATGAAGTTTATATTTCAAGTTAGTCTCCCATACAAAATTTTATACATACATGGTTATGTGACCCTAAATGCTCACCCCATTCTGCGACAGCACACTCCTCCTTTCTGTCCCTGAGTCCCCATGTCCATTCAACAAGCTCTTAACCCTCTCTGCCTTCCCATCTCACGTCTGGACAGAAGCTGCCCCTTTGGGCTCTTGTATCTACTTGAGCTAAGAGGCACACTCCTCACGGGTATCACTTTATGTCACATAGTCCAGACCTATCCCTGTCTGAAGAGTTGGCCTCAGAAATTGTTTTAGTTCTGAGCTGATAGAGAATCCAGGGGCCATGCTTTCCGGGGTACCTCCAGTCTCCGTCAGACCATTAAGTCTGGTCTTCTTATAGAATTTGAGTTCTGCACCCCACCTTTCTCCTGCTCCATCCAGGACTCTCTGTTGTGTTCCCTGTCAGGGCGGTCATTGGTGGTAACCGGGCACCATCTAGTTTTTCTGGTCTCAGGCTGATGAAGTCTCTGGTTTATGTGGCCCCTTCTGTCTCTTGGGCTAATACTTTTCCTGTGTCTTTGGTGTTCTTCATTCTCCTTTGCTCCATGTGGTTGGAACTTATCGATGCATCTTAGATGGCTGCTTGCAAGCTTTTAAGACCCCAGACGCCACTCACCAAAGTAGGATGCAAAACATTTTCTTAATAAGATTTGTTATGCCAATTGACCTAGATGTCCCTGAAACCATTGTCCCCAGACCCCTACCCCTGCTACTCTGTCCCTCAAAGTGTTTGATTGTATTCAGGAAACTTCTTAGCTTTGGCTTAGTCCAGTTGTGCTGACTTCCCCTGTAGTGTGTGCTGCCCTTCCCTTCACGTAAGATAATTCTGATCTACTATCTGGTTAGTAAATAACCCTCACCCTCCCTCCCAGCCTTGTAACCATCAGAGAATGTTTTCTGCTGTGTTTAAACCTTTTCTTGAGTTCTTATAATAGTGCTCTTATACAGTATTTGTCCTTCTGTGACTGACGAAATTCACTCAGCATAATAAGTTCCAGCTTCCTCCATGTAATCAGAAAGTAAAGATTCTTTTTGTAACAGTTGCACAATATGATGAACGCAATCAATGTCACTGAATCGTACATGTAAAAATGTAGAATTGGCAAATATTTTGTTATATACATTTTTACCACAATAAAACAAAACAAAATTTTTTTATTGCTAATGTTTTGGGCTATAGGATGTCCTATAAAACATAATCGTCTTAGGCCTTCAATATATATGAAGCTTTACATAGACGCTATTTATACTACATTTCTAGAAATCATTGATCTCCCACATAAGGTGGACTAGATTTACGCATCATTCCAGTGTTGATGGAGAGAAGTCTGCCAGGCAGTTCTTTTACTTAAAAAAGTATTTACTGAGGACCGACTACACTGCAACCTTTTGTCTCAGGTACTTCATTACGTGACTCTTTCTAACTGGGGTGAAATTTATTATATGAGGTTGGGGAGGCAGGAATTTTATGACTGGGTGATTCACAAAAATTTAGATTAAAAACAAAATAGCTTGGTCCTGTGTACGCGTGAGTAATTCAATTCAGCAAATATATGTTAAGCCTCAAGGTTCATATGATCTATTTGAGTCTCCTGGTGGGTGCCAGCATAAGGAGCATCACTGGGGTGCCTGGTCACCTCCTGTGAGGCAGAGGAAGCACACAGCACAGTCTCAGGGCAAAATAAACCCTTATGAAGTGTTCCTTATGATCATTTATCAATGACCTGGGTGAATGCAGACAAGAAAAGGCTATCAATTGGCACATGTCAAGAAGAACGGGCTGGTTCGTCCAAAAGCTCTTTAAAGCTAAAATAAGAGACCCAAACCACCAAGACGTTAGTACAGGGTAAATGCAAAGTGCCACTCCTGATTTTAGGATATGACATAGTAGAAGTACAGGAGGGAGAGACTTATTCATGGGGTTAAAAAAAAAAACCCAAAAACTGAAGTGTTTTAAGGGACCCAAACCTCAGTAGGCATCAGAAGTGCGATGGAGCTGCTGAAAAAAGCAAATGTAATTTTAAGCTGCATTAGTAGAAGTCCAATGACAGACGTGAAGGAGGCGACGCTCCCACTGCACTCTGTACTGGACCATGTCTGCCGTGCTGTATCCAGCTTTGGAAACGGTAGTTAAAGCAAGGTGTCTCAATGTATGGTACGCAAACCCTTGTGGGCAACCAAATGATTTTAAGAGGCACAGAATGAATATTCCCTACTTTGAAAGTTGTGAATGTATTTAATGTCTATTAGAAAAATATGTATCTAGCACATTAATCGTGAGAATGACAGATCTGGTTGCTTAAGACATGGCTAAGTTCAAAGAAGCTGATTCAAAGGAAAACTATGAGAGCAAAGTTAAAGTTAGAACACAGACCAAGGATGGTGCATGGATGATTCACAAATATGGCGCTAAAGGAACATGGGCAGTGCAGAGCAGACCAGAGGCACTGACGAGGGATCTGGAACAGTGCCATACGACAAATGGTAGACGGCACTTTGGGACTGGGGAGATCTGGATAGATACTGGTCAAAATTTACATGAAGGAGTAGATTTATTCTGTGATACTCCAGGGGCAGTATGAGTGTGCAAGGTTTAGGGAGGAAATTCTCAGTTCAGTAGAAGAGGGAGACTCTTTACTAGGTACTGAGAAACGGGGCAGTCTTGCACATGCTACTACACTCATGAGAAGTGTAGAAATAAAGGCCACTAAGAATACTTCAGCAAGACTTCCCAGGCTGAAGTCAGTTGGCCCATATTTCCATTAATGTTCCTTCCAGCTCCCTGGTTTTCTGACACAGGACCGTTTTAAATGTGGGGAATGGCCGATCCACTTTTTCTGCCATAGCGGGAGGGGAGGGTAAGGCCTTGAGCTCAGGGATGTAAATGAGCATCACAGCAAACGTTGTCAGGAATTCTTGATTATTCAGGAGTAATCCAGTCAGTCTCTCTCTCTCTTTTCTTTTTCCTCCTTTTGATGGGCATTTCTCCACTCTTTGCAAATTCAACAAAGTACAGGTAAAAGAGAAATGAAAATAAATGATGTCCAAATCTTTTAACATCTTCTTTGGTGCACGCTTTGGGAGGGATGAGTTGAATAGCAATGGACAAAAAAGGGTCTATTTCTCTGAGGTCTACGGCCCCCAGTGTAGTTGGTGGTTTGAGGCCAAAGGTTCTAGGCTGTCCTTAGACCTGGGAAAACACTGGCCCACACAGGCCAGGTATGGTCCCGTTTCATGTTCTCATAAGACTGTATTAAATTTTTATTTTTAAGGTAAACTAGATTCCTCCTCCTTCTGCAGACCAAACAAACAAATAAACAAAAAGTACCAATAAGAAAAGGAAATGTAAAAATAAAAATGAACGTTATTAAAATAGTATAAGAAAATCAGTCCGTAAACAAACAAGGGTGCCCATTGCCTTGCACGTTCAGCGTGCTCGGCAGACCGACACTGCGTCCTTACCCTTCTTTAAGCAGGATGGGCTGCTCTATGCTCTTGTGGTCTCTTCTCCCAGAAGACGAAATCAAATCTAAGAACTTTAGCAGAAAAGAAATTTGACGGTTAAAAGGGGAAATAACACAGTTAGCATACGTTCATGCTTACATCTAAATGATGGCATCAGGATACTTTGTGTCTTCTCGCTGGTACAAGTAAAAATGGAAGGATTTGAGAAGGTAGGACCGGGGGCTCCAGGGAAATCAGCTCTTCTGTGAGAATCCTGAGAGCTCTGCGCTTGTTTCTACTATGAAAAAGAGAAGTGTCTAGTCCCTACTCCCAAACGTGCCCCATTAACCCTTCCAGGGAATGTCTCATCTGTACCTTCATCCTGTTACCACTGCTCTGCTTAATGTCAAAGGCCGCCATTAGCTTATTCTCCCCGAGGAGTGACCGGCTTCAGGTAACACCTAGAGTATCTACCAGCATTTTAATAGGTGATCAAAAATGAATCTTATTTTGGATTGAATTGTGTCCTCCCAATAATGTGTATCAACTTGGCTAGGCCATGATTCCCAGTATTGTGTGGTTGTCCACCATTCTGTGATCTGATGTGATTATCCAGTGTGTTGTAAATCCTATCCTCTATGATGTTAATGAGGCAGGATTAGAGGCAGTTATGTTAATGAGGCAGGACTCAACAGGATTAGGTTGTATCTTGAAGTCAATGTCTTATGAGATATAAAAGAGAGAAGCAAGCAGAGAGAAGAGGGACCTCATATCACCAAGAAGAAGTGCTGGGAGCAGAGCACTTCCTTTGGACCAGACGTCCGCATGCTGAGAAGCTCCTAGACCAGGGAAAGACTGATGACAAGTACCTTTCCCCAGAACCAACAGAGAGAGAAAGCCTTCTCCTGGAGCTGGTAGCCTGAATTTGGACTTCGAGCTTCCTAGACTGTGAGAGAATAAATTTCTGTTTGTTAAAACCATCCACTTATGGTATTTCTGTTATAGCAGCACTAGATAACAACAGATAACTAAGACAAATCTGTAACAGTGGAATTTGAGGCATCTGTAGGGAAGGTACTAACAGTGGAGGGAGTCATAGGATGTGCCCAGGGCCCTACCAGCTTTCTATGCCTAAGGCAGGCCTCTCCTCCACCACTACCACCATATTCATGGTCCTAATAGCCAATTTCCCCCTGTGTTGTGGCAGGGCGGGGCCTCTCTGCTGAACTGGACTATTCCATGACTTATTTAGATTACTTCCAATGATGGCTAAAAGGCCAAAGGTGGCTGGTCTGAGCTCCAGTCCCTTCCTTTCCTTTCTATATCCATGCTCTTATTTATTTATCATACCTTTTGGTCGTGTAGTGGTTAAGAGTTCAGCTGCTAACCAAAAGGTCGGCAGTTCAAATCCACCAGAATTACCCTATAGGGCAGTGCTACTCTGTCCTATAAGGTCGCTATGAGTCGGAATTGACTTGACAGCAGTGGGTTTGGTTTTTGGTTTTTAGATGAATGTTTACAGAACTAACTAGTTTCTCATTAAACAGTTAGTACACATATTGCTTTATGACATTGGTTAACAACCCCATGACATGTCAACACTCTCCCTTCTTGACCATGGGTTCCCTATTACCAGCTTTCCTGTCCCTCTTGCCTTCTAGTCCTTGTTCCTGGGCTGGTGTGCCCTTTCGTCTCATACCCATGCTTTTTTAATGAGTTCTGAAAGATAAGTATTTGCAATTGCTCCTAAACACTGAAAAAAGTAAAGTTTTAGGATACAGAGAGTTTATTCCCCAAGCACTGTGTATTGGATTGAATTGTGTCCTCAAAAAATGTGTGTCAACTTGGCTAGGCCATGATTCCCAGTAGTGTGTGGCTGTCCACCACTTTGTGATCTGATGTGATTATCCTATATGTTGTAAATCCTAACCTCTATGATGTTAATGAAGCAGGATTAGAAGCAGCTATGTTAATGAGGCAGGACTCATCTACAGAATTAGGTTGTAACTTGAGAGTCAATCTCTTTTCAGATATAAAAGAGAGAAGCCAGCAGAGAGACAGGGGGACCTCACACCACCAAGAAACAAGAGCCAGAAGAATAGCGCCTCCTTTGGACCTGGGGTCCCTGCACTGAGAAGCTCCTACACCAGGGGAAGATTGATGACAAGGACCTTCTTCCCCTAGAGCTAACAGAGAGAGAAAGCCTTCCCCTGGAGCTGGCATCCTGAATTCGGACTTCTAGCCTCCTAAACTGTGAGAGAACAAATTTCTGCTAAAGCCATCCACTTGTGGTATTTCTGTTCTAGCAGCACTAGATGACTAAGACACACTGTGTCCTTAATTTTGGGTCTTGGGTGCCAGGGATCTTCACGACTCTGTAAGGCATTTGGGGGTATCAAGGGCCAGGCACTGCTTGGAGAGGGGCAGGCCAGGATATGGAAACTTACAGAACAAATCAGGGTGACGGGCCAAGGGATGCGTGGCTTGGAAGTAGGGCACCGTAGCAATAATCTATGAAGGTATAACATACAGGTCAGCTTAGAGAAGAAAATGTGGATATAAACGTGAAGGATGAAAGCCACAAAATGTCAGATTGCAAAGGAGAGTCATGATAAAAAGAACTCAAAAACAACTCTGCTTCTTAGAAACAATATACAATACAGGGGATGGCAGGTGTATACTAATAGATGTTGATACTTACGTTTTTTACTGCATCAGCATATTTCTGCTCATTGAAGAACTCATAAAATGTAGCCATGTAGGACTCCTTAAAACTGGCCTAGAACAAAACAGGTTGCTTAATGAAGGCCTAAAAACATCTCGGCTCATGGCCCACATTTGAAAAATCTAAAGGCATGAATTAGGACAAGCCTAAATTATGATAATTAAACAAACTGAAAATCCTCTTTAATGTTGGGTAAAGGATACAGAGTATAAAGTGTCTTCTGAGAAATTTTAGTTCAGGTATAGCAAAACCAGTTGCCATGGAGTCAATTCCGACTCATGGTGACCCCATGTATGCAGAGTACAACTGTGCTCCATACAGTTTTTCCAAAATCTAAGCCAGTTGCCGCCGAGTCAATTCCGACTTATAATGACCCTATAGGACAGAGTAGAACTGCCCCATAGGGTTTCCAAGGAGTGGCTGGTGGCTTCGAACTGCCGACCTTTTGGTTAGCAGCTGAGCTCTTAACCACTGTGCCACCTAATGGACCTTAAATCATAGAAAGTATGTTAAAAAATTTCTGTAAGATGAATTATTTTTGAACTGTATTTTTAAAAGCTAACCATTCTGAAGGAATCCTCCAGTGCGTTTGTTGTTAAAAAGTCCTTTGGTGAAATGACTAAACACCCCTTCCCCTGTATTGGCCCATTAACATCTGGATTTCTGGGTTTAGGAAGTTGTTAAGCTGGCCATGCCGATGTTGGTTGGTTGCAGTGAGATGCACCTGGCTTCCGAAGGCCTGAGTTCCAGACCTGAGGTGCCACATCCTCTCCTTGGACCCCATGCTAATCATGGAACCTTCTTCTGCTTTGCTTTCCTCCTTTGTATACAGTACCTACACTGCTAAGGGCTGTTCTGAGGCTTAAAAAGGGGGACTGGTGAGAGGGCCTCAGCAAGTGCTATGGAACTGGAAGGCACCATTATGAGCTGGCAAGCCACAGTAATTTAGTGAAGGGGCCTTTCGAAGTAACCATTCCAGATGTCCCACGTTCCAGTTTAATATGGTTTTAATATTTAGCCTACCTGGGTATTTTCAAAGACGTGGTAGTTCAAATCCACCAGCTGCTCCTTGGAAACCCTATGGGGCACTTCTATTCTGTCCTATAGGGTTGCTATGAGTCGGAATGGACTCAATGGCAGTGGGTTTTTTTTTTTTTTTTTTTTGGTTTGGGTATTTTCAAGGAGCCTTGATGGCACAGTGGTTAAAGTGCTAGGCTGCTAATGGAAAGGTCAGCAGTTCAAATCCACCAGCCACTCCGCAGGAGAAAGCTGTGGTAGTCGGCTTCCATAAAGATTTACAGCCTTGCAAACCCTATGGGGCAGTTCTACTCTGTCCTACGGGGTTGCTATGAGTTGGATTCAACTTGACAGCAATGGGTTTGGGTTTGAGTATTTTCTGAAAATGAAAATGAGGTGGGTTTTAGGCAGATCTTAGACTGCGGCACAGGTGCCTGTTCAGCTGAGTTTCCAGGCCAACAAAAACTGGAACTGATTGCATAGAGAAAAGCAATCAGTACAAGTTAGCCTACCTGCTAGACACGATAGATCTTTTATTTTACTTCGACTCAGAGAAAACAAAGTGTTTGCCACTGAGGGAGACTGGTTATCTGTAATGATGGGATCCTTGTTGGCCTCTGGCCCTAACATCTAAGTCTGAGGCACCACAGTGAGCAAAGAACAAGGAAGGGGGGGTGGGGTGGATTTCTGTGGGTTAGGGTTTAACCCTTTCCAGTCAGAACTGTAAGGACAAGATGGGAAGGCCCCCACTGCTGCCCAAATCAATCCTTGTCAATGGTTGAGCCAGAATTGGGCTCCATCCCCAAGGGGCACTTCCACCAAAGTGTCTATCTTACTTTTGGTAAAATAATTAGTATCACATTTCCTCAAAACTGCTAGGCATCAGGCATGTCCTTATGAGAAAATGGGGCAACCTTGGAGACCTGAGGTCCTAGGATGGAGACTTCATGGGGCCCCCTTGCCCTTCAGAACCAACATATTAAAATTGGCAAAGCCAGGTAAAAATGAGCGGCAATGGCTGCATGGCAGGGGTGGGGGGGCAACTGATTTGTCACCGAAAGGGTTAAGATGAACATGCGTGTACATGGAGTAGGGGCAGGGGGAGGGAGGTTCAGCCCCCACATCTGCCTAGGAAAAGAATGAAGTGCGCTACTGCTGATTGCAGGCAAAAACAGCCAGGCAAGTTTTTAGCTTTCAAGTCACTGTCCAGTCACTAAAGCCCTACTTCCTACAGCACGGATGTTCTCAGACGCTCAAGGTCAAGGCAGTCTGCTGCATTTGCTACAGCTGGGGGGCGTCCAGCCAGTGGCAAAGCTGGATAGAAAAAGGCATTGCATCATCAATTTAGAATAAGTGCTTTCTGCCATGGGCCAAATGGCAAGCACTGAATTGATGCAGTTCAGTCAACTACCTTCCAAATCTGTTGATACAGGTCAGACGTGGATAGCCACTCCACTCAGCTTATGAATAAAATGTCATACGCTATCACAATTTTCCTCTCAAAAAGCAAAGTATTGTAATTCAGAAGTGGCACAGAGGCACTTGGAAGATACTGGGAGTGTTCTATTTATTAAGGTGGTCGGGGAGACTCTGAGTGCTGGTTTTATTACTGTTTTTATTCTTATGAATACCCTTATAAATGCATGCACTCCTTTTGAGGTGTGAGATATTTCATGTACGTTTTTAAAAGAGATTTTAAAAAATCAAAGTGTTCTCAAAAAGCAAAAAAGACTAAAAATAAAAGACTTACAGATTTTGACTTGGATAAGCTGCCAAGCGTTTGAATAGTCTTTGAAATAAGTGTCAAAGTTCTAGAAGTCTGTGGATCCTGTTGGAGACAGGAAAAGAAAAACGTTAGTTTTGCTCCAATTTTAGTACAAGTTGCTGAGACTGATGCCGGAATCGCACAGTTGACAAGATGAATGACATGATCCAAAAAGCGCAACAAGGATGTATGCATACACTCTGTGAGTAAACAAAAGTCAATACGCAAACAGGGACTACTAAAGCTGACTTTGGCACTATATTCAGAAGGAGTTCATTTAAACCCCTCCGCTCAACGTCATCCATGGACCCATGTTGCTGATTTTTTTTTTTTTTTTTTGTCATTTACAGTTTCTTTTTTTTATTGTTGTAGTTTAAGTGAAAGTTTACAATTCAAGTTAGTCTCTCATACAAAAATTGATACATACATTGTTATGTGACCCTAATTCCTCTCCCTGTACTGTGACAGCACACTCCTCCTTTCCATCCCTGATTTCCCGTGTCCATTCAACCAGCTCCTAACCCTCTCTGCCTTCTCATCTCACCTCTGGACAGAAGCTGCCCATTTAGTCTCATGTATCTACTTGAGCTAAGAAGCACACTCTTCACAAATATTATTTTATGTCCCACCGTCCAGTCTAATCTTTGTCTGAAAAGTTGGCCTTGGGAATTGTTTTAGTTCTGGGTTGACAGACAGTCTGGGGTTATGCTTTCTGGGACTCCTCCAATCTCAGTCAGACCATTAAGTCTGGTCTTTTGAGTAAAATTTGAGTTCTGCACTCCACCTTTCTCCTGCTCCATCAGGGACTCTCTGTGGTGTTCCCTGTCAGGGAGGTCATTGGTGGTAGCCAGGCATCATCCAGTTCTTCTGGTCTCAGACTGATGAAGTCTCTGGTCTATGTGGCCCTTTCTGTCTCTTGGGCTAATACTTTCCTTGTGTCTTTGGTGTTCTCCATTCTCCTTTACTCCAGGTGGTTGGGACCAATTGATTCATCTTAGATGGCTGCTTGCTAGCTTTTAAGACCCCAGATGCGTGGACCCATGTTAATGGCATCACCGGGAAGCTTGCTAAAAATGCAGAATCTCAGATGCCACCTAGGCCTGCTGAGTCTACACTTCAGCAAGATGCCCAGGAGGCTCCTACACACAGTGAAGTTCATGAAGTGCTGCTTTAAATCAACCCTTTCAGCCCAACATACAAAAGGAAGGTCTTAAAATTAGAAGCATCCCTGTGGGGTTACTCGCTTTACCTGTTCTGAGCCTCCCAGGTAACACTGCCTGTGAATTTACCTTTTGCCCTTTAAATGGTTTGGAGGATTTAACACCAAACCAACAACAACAAAAATGAATGGACCCATCACTCTCTAATCCCCTGACTCTGGGTTTTTTCTTCCAGGTCCTTGCTACAGCCTGGCACATTATGTTATCTGCTTGCTTGTTACATTTGTCGCAGGGCACTGGAAGGTAAGCTCCATGAAAACTGGGCCTGTGGGCTATTCTTGTATCTCCAGCTCCCGGATTGGTGCCTGGCACATAGTAGGTGCTCAATTAATATCTGTTGACTGATTGAATAAATAAATGAATATAGGCTGTTGTTAGGTGCTGCTGAGTTGCTTTTGACTCATAGCGACCCCATGTGACAAAGCAGAACTGCCCCATAGGGTTTGCTTGGCTGTAATCTTTTCGAAAGCAGATCGCCTGGTCTTTCTCCCATGAAGCCACTGGGTGAGTCTGAACCACCAACCTTTTGGTTAGCAGCCGAGTGCTTAACCATTGTGCCACCAGGACTCCCTGAATGAATGTATACATGATCATAAATACCTATTTTTTTCTATTTCAGGGGAGCATAATGATAGCGACCACTAGTTAAAACCTTGGTCAAGTCATCCAAACTTATTCTTTAAATACTATTAACTTCTTTCAAAATGTATAATTATCAGAGCTGACACGCTTAAACAGAAAGATAGCAAAACCTACTTGTAGGCCAAGGAAGTTACAGGTGTGTGACAGGTGTGTGACATGTTTATACTCCATTTTACAATACAACGGCCCCCAAGAACACCACTGCAGCGTCCGCTTGCCAGCAGAGCTCCGTAGGAAGCAGGCACCGAGCTTATCTGCTCATTTACAAGGGCCTTGACAGCACGCACAGTGCTCCAAGGCTCACTTACCGTGTGGTGAGGGGTGAGCTGGAAGAGGTTGGGAGAGAGGATGGCGGGAGCGAAGAATCTCAGGAAAATGAAGCTACTCACAGCAGTGTACCTCACATCCGGGTCATCTGCAACCAGGAAAAAAAGGAAAAGCCACTTCACCTGGCATTTGAGAGGTAACAGCATTTTAATAATTTAGGGCATCTTGCTCTTCCGTCAGTATTTCATAAAGCATGCCTACAGTTCTCTCTCCCTTTCTCTCGCGTGCTGACTGTTATTTAAGAAAGGATTTCTTTGGGGAAGAGCTTGGTCTCCCAAGCACAGTATCTGTTTGGTATTTGGGGCTGTAAACAGACATCAGATCAATTCACCAAGCCCTAAGGCTGGGAAAGGGGAGATCCGCTCATTATCTGGTGATATACTCACATCTGGGGTGTGAGAATATATTTCATTTATTACCATCTTATTCCAAAAAGGATTGAAGGCACACTCGGATGCACCTGGTAATTGCCTTTCCAAGAACACTAAATGCTGCCTTCATGATGTAAAGTGCTGTTGCTTCTCAACAAGCAAGCGTGTGACAGCCTTGGCAAGTGGAAGGCCAGGCACCTCAAGCTCTACTGGAAGGGAGACAGAAAGCTACCATATCCGGCCAGGTGTGGACAAAAGGGCCCGGGGTTTCTAAGACCACCATTATTCTGTCTGGACAGTGATAAGTCTGGGCCACAGGGATTGCTCTGGAAGATTTTGCAGCCAGGGTTTCCACGTAGGTTCTCCAAGGTAGGCAAGACATACCTCAGGCCAATTCGTGGAAGGATAGAATGGTATTGGCAAATGGTGCCCACCTGGCTGGGGGAGGTGGGTAAGGTGTGCCAGATGCTGCTCTCCCTCTCAGCCTTTCTATGAATGATGGCTTCTGAGAACCTGGCCTCTCAAAGTCCCTATGACTTCGTACCATGCCTCAAGCCATGAGAGTTAATATGAACACTGTTCCTACAGCTAGAGCAAAAACATTTCCTTTGCTTTGCTAACAGGGAACTCTGTGTAGGGTGGCTTACGGTGATTGCTTTTGTGTGACTTTCTCTCCATGGTCTTGTGACTCCCAACCAAGAAATTGGGTGGGACTGTGCAAATAAGGTAATTGTGGCCCACCAAGGGGCCACAGTTTTACCATTCCGCTAGGCTTAAAATGAGCCATCCCAGAAGTGGGGAAGAGAAGATCTCACCACACTAAGGAAGAAGAGCCAAGAGTGGAACACGTCTTTGGGACCCGGGATCCCTGTGCTAAGAAACTCCTGGAACCAGGAGACAGAGACAGAGAGTTATAATACTAAAGATGGTGAGAAGCGGTGGAGGAGAAGCAGTGGCAGCAGAGATTAGAGGACAGATTGGCAAGACAGACTGGCAGGAGATGGTACAGTGGGCTTCCTGGACCACAGAGGGAGAAAGCTGAGTGCCTTTGGGCAAGAGGCTTGCTGGAGGAATAGGGTGCCTCCAGACACTTGGTAGAACTAGGTTTGCTGACCCAGGGAGCTACAGCTGAGCACCTTCGGACTGAGGCTTCCTTGTGGAGTGGGGTGCCTCAGGGTACTTATCGGCAGAGCTAAAAAATGCTTTGTTAACACTTGCCTGAGCAGGGCAGAGGCCGAGAGGCCAGAGAGAGGCGTGCCTGCGGGCACAGCTGGGAAGAGCCTGTCCTGATGGAAGAACTGTATCCTGAGTGTTCCTGAATCTAACTGTAACCTGCAACTTCCCTGATAAACCTCATAATCGTGAGTATTCTCTGTGAGTTCTGCGTGGCCACTGCAATGAATTATCAAATGCAGCAGAGAAGCACAGAGTGCCATGGGAGAGGTGGCTGGTGTCTGAATTGGTATAGATGGTGCAGAGAGGAGGCTTGTCTGACCTCCGCCTCATAGGAATCAGCCTTGGGCTGTTGATCTTGATTCTCCTTCTCCCTTGTGCAGTTAGAGGAGGCCAGATGACACCACTGCCGTGACACTTTTACAGTGACACACGGCAGAATCCACCGTTAAAAAGCAGGCGTTCGAAAGAGCTAGGCTCAGATCTCTGGGAAATCCCTCATTTCCCAATTCCCCAAATGCTTCCATCTCTGTCAGTTTTCCTCTGTTTGATGAAGGTGAAAAAGCGTTCTGTGTATATAGTACTAAACAACGCCTCCCAGTTTACCGTAAGAAAAAACTGCTGGGAGAATTCTGTGAAGGAACAGCTCCTCTGAACTGGAGCGAGCCGGAACACAGAGACAGTCAACATTCCATTCCTAAACGACCACCGGGTTATCAGTTGCTGTCGAGTCAACTCTGACTCATGGCAACCCCATGTGCGCCAGAGTAGAACTGTGCTCCAAAGGGTTTTCAATGGCTGATTTTTCAGAAGTAGATTGCCTGGCCTTTCTTCCGAGGCACCGCTGGGTGGACCCAAACCTCCAACCTTTCAGTCAGCAGCCAAGCGCATAAACTCTTTGCAACACCTCAACCCAGGAAAACCAAACTTGTTGCTGTCGAGTCGATTCCGACTCATAGTGAACCTATAATACAGAGTAGAACTATCCCATAGGGTTCCCAAGGAGCGGCTGGTGGATTCGAACTGCCAACCTTTTTGGGGACTCTAAACAGCAACCACTAGGACAAAAGCTCTGCCAGCATGGCTTCCTCAGGTGGCTGGGAGGCCCTGGCATTGGGACAGCTCAGCCTCAAGAAGAAAATAGGAGAGAGGAGGCCGGAAACATTGGCTGAGAGGATAATGACTTCCCAGCAAAATTCTAGCATCCACCAGGACCATAAATGTAGAGGAACGGCCGGCCAGGGCCCTTTCCTGCTCTGACATCTGTCCACTGGCTTCGAGACTCATCCTAGCCTTCTGGTGTAGCCGACTATGGGTTAAAGCTGTTTTTATTCAATGCTGTCTATGCAGACTCTGAAATGTCCTTTCTTGTTGGGTTTTGTTTTTAAGGTTGTCCAAGGACTGTCAGACATATGGCAAGTGGGGAGATAATCCCTCAGTGAGGGGCTGTGGTTATTTTTAGCCAGCGTAAGTGTATTCTGAGGAAGAGCGACTCACCTTGGAAGCGCTTGGCAGCCGACTCCCTCAGGGAGAAGAAAATATCACACATGACAGTCGGGCAGCTCACCCCAGACTTGGTGATCACATTGAAGATGCGGTCCACGTAGTGCCTCAGGTTTTCCTGCAACGGTGAAAACACGTCAAACGGGCCCACACGGTGCACTGGCATCGACAGATGCTGGAAGGCAGAGGGTTCCCGTCTGGATTTGTACCTTCCCCCGAGGGCTGCCCCACACTGACATACACTGAGCATCACTACTGTGTTTGAGGGCTGAGAGACACACTCACAGAGTCGCCACGGACATCTGTGGTGGGGAGGACCAGGCCAGTGTCCTGATTCCACACCAGGGTCCCCGACAGGGCTAGGTTTCCATGCTGAAGAGACAGTCTCAAGTCCAGCTGGCTTCTTCCACGGAGGTCACTTTGCTCAAATGTCACTTTCTGAGTAATGGCTGCCCGAGGCCCTTACTGTTTTACTTCTCTCCTTAGCTCTGATCAATCTCTAACGCACCACACGACTGTTCAGAGTCCATTCCACTAGAATGGAAGGAGATTTTGTCTCTTGTTCACTGCTGTATCCCCAGCTGGCAAACAGTGACTGGCACATAGTAGATACACAGCAAACACTGGGTGGATGGATGACTGGCTGGACAGATGGATAGATGGGTGGGGGGGTCGGGAGATAGAGGGATGGAAGGTCAGAGGGATGAGTGGCTGAAGGGAACAGGCGGATGAAGGGATGGAGGGATGAACAGATGGAGGAAGGAGAAGGGAAGCTAGCATGCTGGAAGGTGGGGGAGATGGGGGATGGAGGGAGGAAGAAACGGATGAGGACTTCTGTCCCTGATTGGGTCTCACTGGGCGGGGTTCCCTAACCAGCCATATCCTAGTTGGCCCCTGGCCTCCAGTCTCACCTCCTCGTGCACATTAGCCCCATGCAGCTGCCAGAGAGAGCTTCCTCACAGACAAGTCACTGTCACATCACTGTCCTGCCTTAGGATCCTCTAGCAGCTTCCTCCTCCTCCTCACTGTTGGGATAAAAGCCTGAACTTCTCATCCTCTCACAAGGCCCTTTAAAGCCCAGCTCGTCCTGCCTCCTCTCTCTCCACACCCTGCTTTATACTTCTCGGACACACAGCATGTTGTTTCTTTCCTGCACGCCCTTGGCCATGCTTCCCCTCCCTCCCCAGATTCATTGTATTCATCTTTAAACTGTTGCTGTGGAGTTGGCTCTGACTCATGTGACCCCATGTGTCAGAGCAGAACTGTACTCCATAGGATTTTCCATGGCTGATTTTTCAGAAGTCAATTGCCAGACCTTTCTTCCGAGGTGCTTTTGGCCGAGTGCTTAACTGTCTGCACCACTCGGGGGACTCCTCCTTAAACTATATAAGCTTTATACATTCTTCCGTATGAAAGATGTACTTCTTAATATATAAAAAAATCCACCTCCTTAAAATACATACTGAAAATTATAATATTGTATGGTAATGAAAGTAATGATTCACTGAAGTTCTGGGGAATATGAAGGAAAAAACACACAGTATCCTTCTCAACCCTGATACCATTAACTGAGTATAGAATTACAATTCACTAGAATATAATTCCCTGAAGTCAGGAACTTTGCCTCTGTTGTTTAAAGTATGATTACAACTTAGCATGATCTGGCATGACAAAATTATAGGAAAAGATGAAAAGTTTTGGTGAAGTGTCAACATCGGGGAGCTTTGCTTCTTTTTTGTTTTTGCTTTTTTTTATTAAAAGAACACAGCTGCCAGGAGCAACATGAGGTGCTCGAGTTTTGGATACTTCTTTTTGTTGAGGTGGAGGAAAAAGAACAGGCGAGGAAGCCTGATCAGGCCTGTGAGGCCATCTCTAATGGGAATGCTTCCGGGTTATTCCAGGAGACGAGGAAAAGAGCAGAACAAATGGAGCCCACTCGGGAAGCAGAGCTGAGTGAGGCAGTCCACAGAGGCAATGTAAGTTAGCAGGAAAGAAACGGGGAGCAATCAAAGATGATGATAAATGGCCATCCGTCTGGGGCTGATGATTTTACACAGGCTGAACCACAACGAACTAAACTTAAAGCCAAAGACGGGCAGCGCATGCAGACCTTTCCATTTCGTCATTAGTAGTCACCCTCTACGCAAAGCATAACTCGGTCTCCTTCCCTACCCCATCCTGAAACTGGACGGTAAAAACGGACAGTTCCTAGGTAGCCATAATACTGAAAAACCTCAAAAGCAGGTGACCGGCTTTGGAAAACGTGCACACGACCAAAACACAAGAGCTTCTTACCATGTTGTTTTCAAGGTTTTCACCATCTTTTAACTTTACAGGGTCAATTTCACAAGATTTGTGGCTTTGGCATATCTAGAAAGGACATTTAAAACAATGAGTACACAAAGCAGGTTTCAGAAACCACAGTGGGGAATGGGGGACAGGGATACCAGGCCTCACTGAGATGGGACTCATGAGTCTTATTCAGAAAACAGCTCGAAACGGTGAATTCTGCGGCCCTGGCAGCTGGCACTGAAGCGGGGCATTGGGGAGGCTAGCGTGGATCTGTAGGCAGGCTGTGGGGTTCACACCAGCCCCAACACTCCGTGAGGCATGTGACTAAGCATCCCTGCCCCAGCCACATCAGCTGAAAGGGTGACAACACACAGGGTCTCTGGAGGGAGTCAGTGAAATAAGGTACATAAATAATTGGTAAGTGCAGGGTTCTGAGTCAGTATCAGATAAATGGAACATTTTTGAAGACCATTTTGCATCAGTTCATACGACATTAAGTTTCATAAAACTTCGATAACATTTTCACTTCAAAATGCTAAAATGATTTTGCCCACAAATCAAACCAGAATGCTATTTTAAATTCTCTCTCATTTGCAAAAGAGCCTATTTTTTATGAAACTGTTCTCGGGGAAACACTGCCTGCCAAGGTATCCTATTTAACAGGTGAGGTGAGAAAGCGCTGAGTCACTTGGAAAGGAAACGTGTGGTTTCAATGTGTCAATCAATTACTACCCTGGAAAGAGACCGATCACACTGGACTTGAGAGATAATGAAAAGCTGCAACAGAGCTCTGGAACAAACGATGCTGCTTTAGGAATTCAGGGAGGACCAGAGGGATGTGGGGGAAGCGGGTGTCCTCAGGAAGAAACATCTTTTCCTTGTATGCCCTTCTGTCTTTAGCTGGGTGACAGATTTTTTAAGTAATGTTTTTTTTAATTCAAGAAAATGTGGAAGATTATGGAATACCTCATGAAACTTCCCCACAAAAGCTGGTCAAATGACGTCCCTGTGGCGAAGCTAAAAATAGAGCTGATATTACAGTAATAGCTCTTGGTTACACTGAACGTCTCTATTCATGCATTTTCTGTATGTGTGTTATCATTCACAATAAAAACATTAGTTCCCAGGAAGTTCCTCCCCTTGCTCAATAACGTTGAAACAGCAGGGACCTGGCAGCTGGGGTCTGCAGGGGACCCTGGCTCACCTCTTCTATGATGGGCTTTAGGGTGACGTGGAGGTAGTGCATCCCTGCCAGCTTCATCGTCTCATCAATGCACTTGGAAGTCAAAGAGTTTCCTCGGAAAATGGTATTTGGGTCTCTGGAAAACAGTTTTGGGGATGATTTTTGTCTCCACATGATACCAATGCACATTTAAGGAAGCAGAGCCTGTTCTGGAACGCCCTTTTGTCTGACGCAGAAAATAAGGCCACCTGAGGAGTCTGTCTTTAGATTTTTTATGAGGTAGAGAAGACCAAGGTCGCTGGGTGGCACAAGTGGTTTGTGCTCCACTACTTACCTAAAGGCTGGCGGTTTGGAACCACTCGGTGACGCCATGGAAGAAAGACTTGGTGATCTGCTTCCATAAAGATTACAAACAAGAAAACCCTATGGAGCATTTCTACTCTGTAACAAACAGGGTTGCCATGAGTTGGAACTGACTCGACAGCAGTGGGTTTGGAGTTTTTTGGAGAATTCCAGGTTAGGCATTCTGAAATCCCTCCCTCTGAGTCTCTCTCCTGTGTAAACGTGCTTTTCAACTTAGAAGGTAATACAATGGATAGATCTTTGCCAACTTGTCACCTTCTCTCTTGGTGAGTTTTTTTTTGCAATCAGTTAACGATTCTAAGCACCAAAGCGCTGGTCAGGATAGAGTCTGGCAGAAAAGCAAACAAAACAGGCTGTTCTTTACCTTGTTTAACTGGTGGGTACGTGCTGGAGCTGTCTCAATCAACAAGGGCTATCCCCTTCCCTGAGGGTGGCCAGAGAGCTGATCCCTCAGTAGAAGAGGAAATGCTAGTCTTGAGAGGATGCAGGTCTATCAATTTGCAGCCCTTGACTCTACTTGGAGCCCTGGTAGCACAGTGGTTACAAAGCTTGGCTGCTAACCAAAAGGTCAGCAGTTCAAATCCACCAGCTGCTCCTTGGGGCAGTACTACTCTGTCCTACAAGGCCACTATGAGTCAGAATCGACTCTACAGCAATGGGTTTGGTTTTGGTTTTGACTCCATTTACACAGAGCTCGTAAAATTTAAACACGAAGAGACCTTAAAGCAGCCTGTAAAAGGCCATGAAGAATTGCATATTTTCTCTAAAGCAACAGTGCACATGTTCACCCCAACTCTTTGCACACTCCCTTTGAAATTTCCTAAAGAAAAGGTGAGTTTTTTAAAAATCAGTAAGCGTATCTCTGAAAGAAAGATCTGAATTTAGATTATTATCTTGGGGAGCCTACTTATACCTAAGTTTCCTCAATACCTTGCACTTCGAAGTATTTTTTGATGGTGACTCCTACTGTTTGGCAATCACCCAAATTTTCTACAGCCTTAGTTTCTCACCTATGGGTGGTAGTAACTTTAAACCAGTTGCTGTCAAGTTGATTCTGACTCATAGTGACCCGCTGTGTGTCAGAGTAGAACTGTGCTCCACAGGGTTTTTTCAATGGCTGACTTTTTGGAAGTAGATCTCCAGGACTTTCTTCTGAGGTACCGCTGGATAGACTCGAACTGCCAACTTTTTGTTAGCAGCCGAGTGTGTCAATCATTTGCACCACCCAGCGACTCCGTAGTAACTTTAAATTTCCCAGAATCATGTTTAGGCTTGCCTGTGGAGGTTGACTTAACATTCCTTCAGGCGGTGGGAAGCAGGGAAAAGAAAGGGGCAGGGGACTGGGGGGAGAAGAAGCAGGGCCAGCACTGAGTACTCACTGAGTCCTTTTTACTTCGGCATTTGCAATAGCGCTGATGAAAGGCACAATCTTGCCATAGTGTAGGAAGAGTCGCACCAGTGGGATTGCTGCCTCCTGCTTTTCTCTGCAAACTTCGCCCAAAATATGAGCCCCAGATGCAGACACAGGCTGAGCAAAGAGACAACAGGACTTTTTAGAGGACAAGCACCCAAGCAACTTAGTGACCGGCTCAGATCTAGGCAGGGCGGGCTTCCAAAGCCTGTGCCTTGGCGTGATACTGAACGTTTCCATTTTCTCTCCCGCGTCAGAATTTTTCAACCACTAGGGGGCAGCAATCTAACAACCAAACCCTCCAGAAAGAAGCTGTCCTCATTATTAGTATGTTTTTAGTGATACAACAAGGCCTTTGCCCTTTATGTACTATCATTTCCAGCCATGATAAACACATTTATTTGCTGAGACAGAGAACATGTATTTCACAAAAAATCACATTAAAATCTCCAATTTGCAAATTTGGGCTTTTCCCTCACGGGATCATCTGCAGAAGAGAGAATACACAAGTTCTGCTCCTCCTCCCATGAATGCCCCAAAGGCAAACAGATTGAAGGTCTGTGAGCAAAGGAAGCCAAAGGCATTTGGTTGACAGTCAAAAGTAAAAATTAAGAAGCCCTACACCCTGCCTGTGGCTTCTCACAATGGTTCTAACTGCAAAGGACTTGGGTGTGTCCCCACTTGCAGCCAGCAAAAGCAGATAAAGATCTTTCTCTGCAGGGAGGGCACAAAAACAACCTGGAGGGGACCTGAGGCTGCTGGTGAAACTCACAAATAAGGAGAGGAAGTAGCTGAGGTGGTCGAGGTCGGTCAGCTAGGGCACCTCCCTCCCTTACCCTGAGAAACGTTTGCAAAACTGTTACAAAGGTCATTTTGGTAGGTAAACCAAAAGGCACTCAGGCAAATTACCTCCACATCTGCAGACTTCAGCAAGAGGTCTCGGAGAGGACTGTAATAGTCTGAGGAGAAAACATGGTCCTCCGTGTACACCACATTCAACCTTAACGACCCCAGGTCACCTGGTTTCAGGCTCTTACTGCCGTTATCCCGGGGTTGAAGGAAATACCTGGAAAACACACACAGAGAAAAGCTAGCGTGAGGCAGCAGCATCTTTAAAGCGCCCTGCTCAGCAGCTGGCCCTCCCCTCACACAGCTCTTTATTGTCGGGGTCTGAAGCAGGTGACAGGTGGGGCTATGAGGGTGATTCTGCAGGAGCCCTCCCCCGCAGCGTCTGGGAGGCTCTGTGCGGCTTGGAAGGATGCTTCCCACGCAAGGAGGCTTACTATTGAGGCTGTTTATAAAAAGCCACGTGCTTAGAAGTCAAAGAAGAAAAAAGGAGAAAAAAGGGAAAAGGTGGAAGAAACGAGGACGAGAAGGGGAAGGAAATGAAGTGAAAAAGAAAAAGTGTCTGAGCGCATATGTTGGCTTGAATAGACACATGAGTAGTTTGGGTCAACTCTGCAGTTCAATAATCTACCCGTGAAGATTGACCCATGACATTGGGCTAGCAGTAGGCAGAGCAAGACTGTAATTATTTTAATAACAGTGCAGCAGAGCTTTCACTGTTGGAGGGAATGGTGAGTGTGTGTGCGTAGGGGGGGCAGTGGGGCCATTTGGGGACTGCGTGGTCATTTGTAGTGATGATTTCTCACTTTCCCACTCTTCTCTCTTTTGTTCTACCCTGTACGGTCCCTTCAGGAACCATATTTGCTCCCATTTTGTTGGCTATGAAGTTTAAAGATTTTATACAGGTGATCTGGTCTCTGAGGCACTTAACCACCATGGCGTATTTGGGGAGGTTTTCAGTGGACCACCAGGCAAACATCATGTCCTCGGGTTACTATGGCTGGGGGTTTGCTTAAGCCTCCCAGCAAGAAAACGGAATCTAATGATGTGGTGCTGGTCCAGCTGCTCACGGCTCATGGAATTAAAAGCTACACATAACCCATCATTTCCTGTTGAGAGAAACCTCTGCTATCGAGCACAATGTAAAAAGTTATACAAATGTGTGATTGTTTTGATGTCTATGGCTGCTGATGTATAATGCAACAGGATACAGTTCACATTTCCGGACTGTACTGCGTAGCTATCTGTTAAAGGAAATGAAGTAAGAGAACCAGTGACCAGGGTCAACAATATTTAAGACTTCAAACTGATGATATTTATTGTGATGCAATTTGATTTATAAACTGCTCATGAAAGAAAACAAAGGGATACCCCTTATACCAAAATACAAAGTGCTCTAGAGGGAACAAGGCATAAAGATACAGGGAAGTAGCAGAATTGTAGCCATCTGGGATAATTAAATGACTTATGATGCGGAGCTGGAACATCTCTACATTAGAGGCATGCTTTTAAATGGAGATGAAACACACGGCACCCCTTCACACCTTCCTCAGAAGAGAAGTCACCTTCTGATGACCTTGCCTTTAGTGGATGACATGGGGCAAAGATCAAGATCAATCGTTGCATAGAGGTTGGAGACACTGATGTTCTGATGGGCCAATGAAATGTGTCAGCTGTTTGCCTCATCCACAATAACCAGCCCTAAAATGCTGTTCCAAAAGTTTTAAGGCCCGTGTTTTATCTTTCCTTTCCTCCCTTCGTCGTTTGAAGGTTCTTGGTCATCACCTGTAAGTACACCTCTCCTCATCTACTACGCCTCACCTGCTGCAAAGGTAGAAACTAGATCACCAAGCTAGAGCTGTCGGAATCATGTGCAAAATAAGAGTAGACGTGCTTTAAGTGAGAAGCTAAAGGGTTGAGTACATAGAGTTTGTGCCATTTCATTTCGGAGGCCTTTCTCGCTTTCTTTTGATTTCTCAGCTCTGTCCCTAGAGACGAGGCCCCAGCTAGCTGCTGTCTGACCGGGCGTGCTGTTACATTACCATGCTTCGTAGGAGCTGGACTGCCGTAGGACTTTCAATGGAATCCTTAGTTCTCCCAGAAACTCATCTCCAAATTTCAAGTTACTGGCATTCCAGAGGTCAACTCTGAAAAACAACAGCGAATAACACAAATGTGGCTTAAAGAAGGACAACCTAGGGTGGAATAGAGATTGTGAACCGTTTTTCTTCTTCTTTTCTTTTTCCTCAAGAGGGTCTTGGAACATGATCAACCTTCTGTTCTGCCCAAGTCGGTCTTAATGAAGACCTATACTAACTGAGTCTGTTTAAAATATAAGTTAGAACCAGGATTATGACCTTGGAATAAAGAGTTACATTTCCCCAGGTTGCAAATGAAAAAGAAAGGAAGGGATGAGAGCAGAGCGCATGTGGCTGGTACGAGGTGAGCAGGATGGTCTCCTTGGACTCAGCCTCCTCCTCCTCCTCTGTGACACAGGAGGTTAGCTGTTGGGTATTTGGGCAGCTATAGTCACATCTTCACTTCAGCAATGTCTGTAGTCTCCACTAGCCCAACAAGAGGCTCAGGTGAGGGAGCAATCTGTGTCTCCGTTTCTCCTCAAGGTGGGAAAGCTTCATAGGTACACTAATCTCCCATTACAAACAGGAGAACCCTGTAGAGCTGTGCCTCCCAGCTCTCTGACCCAAGCACCGAGCACGAAGACTTTCAATCTGCAGGGGCTTAATAAAAGCGGCATGCATGAATGAATCAAGTCTAATTCTCTTCAGTCTAATTACTCCTCAGTGGATGAGACTGCCAGTAGAGAATGATGAGATACGAAAAGATATGAAAATACCAGGACTGGCCAGCCTGACCAATTTAAAAACCTGCATGCTCACTACTTTCCATCACATGAAAGTATATCTAGAAAAAAAAAATGAGTGTATTTGAACTCTCCTTCTCTTCCTGAACTGAGAACCTCAACATCCACCAATCGCATACGACTTACCAGCATGAATCGTGAAAAAGGGGAAAAAAGTTCCCACAGAGGAAAAGGGGAAAGAGAGTAGCTGGCTCACAAATAGCTGCCAAACCACGGCGCTATTTCCGTAACAATCTCTGTGAAGAGTCCACGCCCAGCTTTCTGAACAGTCTGGTAACTTCTGAGATGGGAGGGATCACTCACCAGTGTTTTTTTGTCAGGTAAAACACTCCAGTATTTCCTTCAGATTTTGAGACTGTGGCAACTGTATCTTCCTTTCGGACTGATGGATGACTTTAGCTGGTGTTAACAAGGTAACAGGTTTTACACCGCACAGGAACAGCTTCACCAGCCTTTCGCTACGTGGAGCTGAGAATCCAACGTTAACATTTCTAACCAGACGTTGGTGGTCAAAGGAAATTCATGTGAAGGGGGAAAAATCTAGAAAACGGCACCCAGTGCATTCTACCATCCTTGCAAGCCAAAATGGGAGTGGTCAACATTCAGCCGTTGAAAGAACATCATGACAAGAAATAAATAAGCCTTTGGAAGACAGTGAAGGTGACACTGGAGGATGACAAACGGGAATCAATATCCCACAGGAGATTATTTTTAGAATAAACAAAACAGAATGTTTAACCCGCCAGTTGACAGCTGAGCAATATGTATGACAAACAACTTGTCGGGCCTTTTTTTTAGTCAGAGAAGCATTTTAAAACATTTTTGTTTATACGCTTAAAGGAAAAAAAAACCCTAAGACTTCATGTTTTAATTCAAAGCCCCATTTGAAAAAAACAAAATCGCTTCTTTCTTTTAGCAAGAAAAAAGAGGAAGAAGCTGCAAGTTGGAGGAACAGCTGGTACCAAAAGGCAATTTTCAAACAAGGCCTTGTCATTCTGTACAGAGTCAGTCCTCAGGAAGGACCTTTTCAGAAGCTCAAAATTTCGGGTTACTTTGCTTCTAGCTCGGTATTCTGAAGCCCTGAAAATGAAGATTTAAACGAACTGAAGACATTTAAAAATTGGGCTCAAAGCGAGTTACGTCTGTGGAGGAGGTAACTGCACTTCCTCAGGACTTGATGGAAAGAGACACGATATGGATACAAAACCCCTCTGTCTCACATGTGGTGGGAAGAGGAAGTGTCGGGGGGAAGGGAAACGTGCTGAGAACATTCTGTACAAACTCAGCCTGCTTTCCTTCACTGTCACCGTCAGGGTTAGTAGCCCTTCGCTGCCTGGCCCAGAAGCCTCTCCACACATCTTAGTTATTGCTCAAGAAGCCATGAACGCTTGTACAGGTTCTTTTGAGGAACACCAGAGCGCTCTCTTCCCTAAATGTAGGCCTGTGGTCTTTCTAATCGAACCTCACATGCCTGAGGATATCTTAACCCTAAAATGCAAGCTGATTTTAAACCACCTCAAACTTAGTAAAAGATTCTCAAACAAAAACCAAACTTGTTGCTGTCAAGTCAATTCCGACTCATGGTCGACCCCATGTGTTTCAGAATAGAACTACTCTCCACAGGATTTCCAAAAATAAACATGTCTTAAAACCAAAAAAACAAACCCGTTGCCGTCAAGTCGATTCCAACCCATAGTGACCCTATAGGACAGAGTAGAACTGCCCCATAGCTTTCCAAGGAGTGGCTGGTGGATTCAAACTGCTGACCTTTTGGTTAGCAGCCAAAAGCTTATCCATTGTGCCACCAGGCCTAAACGTGATTATCTTGGCCCTCTTGACTACTGAAAACTACATAACATATTTACTTATTTGTTTTCTGTCTCATTACAACGTAAGCTTCATGAGGGCACGGTTGCAGACTCTTTGCACCTTGAATGGAACATCAATATCTGCCTTGCAGGAACATCAATATCTGCCAGATGAAGGACAGGAGAGTCCCACGTGTGGCACTCTGCATGACCATAGCAATATAACGGCCGCTCGTATTCTCCAAAATAACCTAAATAAAATTAGTATCTAAAAGTCAACGTATACTACAGACAGGGGTATCGAACCCAGGTTTGGATGGAAGGGATGATCAGGAAAGAGATGACTTGGGCAGTATTTATTATGCCTTTTTTATTTTTATTTTGTGCACCATATAGAAATTTTCAAATGAGTCTGCATATATACCGCTTCAGAGTAGACAGGAGGCATTATGCAGAAGCATTTGTACAGAAGTTGGTACCGAAAAAACAGAGAATGCAATAAAAAACAAAACAAGTAAGAATCCAGCTTACTTTAACGAAGAGGAGGGGGCACTAACTTGGTCCATAAAATGGACATTCCTGGAAGATCGCCTTTTCCAAGACTCTAAGTAAACGGGATTGTGGAGACTTTCTGGAAACAAAGACTCACAATTGGCTTGCGTTTCTTTCAAGGTTCTTTCTGAATTTTGGACATGAGAGCATGTCTTCTTTATTCAAGCATCCAAGTACCTTTGCTAAACCACACGATACCTTATTCTCCTTCATTTCCTCTGGAAAGTATCAGGACGCCAAGAAAGGGAGATTATGGGGGCAGACCAGCCATAGGTGAAGTTTAACAAAGACTCGGTTTCTATGACAACATGCCTGAACAGAACAAGGGAAGATAAATATAGGCTCCACAGATAAGATCATTTTATAAGAAGCAGTGCTTAACATTTTCCAGGAGGACAGGAGCTTAGAGGAGACTGGTCTAGCCTGGAGCAGGGTGGTAGTAGGCCCTCAGTGCCACCCACTCCAGGCCCCAGCTGCCCTGCCTCTGCTCAGTCCAGGGGAAAGGCTGGCAGGCCCGCACCGCAGGGGATTTCCTGAACCCGAGAGCTGGAAGCTACTGGCCAAAGTCGGTGGGAAGAAAGCCCTGGAATATTTTCTAAAATTAATGCTAGTAAAAATTATTTAAAATAATTTATTTTTATTTTTGTTGTTGTTGAAAATACACACAGCAGAACACACACCAATTCAACAATTTCTGCCTGTATAGGTCACTGACATTGATTACATTCTTTTAAGTCTGTAAGAATTGTGCAGCCATTCTCACACTCCTTTTCTAAATTGTTCCTCCCCCATTAACATAAACTCACTCCCCCTAAGCTTCCTGTTTCCAGTTGCTGTAGCCAATTTGATCTCACACAGATAGCTCTTTAGAAGAGCTCAATGCTCAGGGAGGACATTCTCTGATGCTAGTAAACATTTTAAGTTATGATCTCTAAGGGTGATAAGCACAGACAGTGAAAACCAAGGGCTTTGTAATGAGGATCGCGTAAAAGAAGCTGCGCCACCCAGCCAGGGGCCTCAGATATTTTGGGTGGATGGAATCTTGCAGACACTGAGTAACATAAATCTTCTGATCTTCACCCATGAAAAGATATTGCAAAGTGAACTATAAAAAAAATTGCCCATTTGATACATAAATATCTTTTCGGCACACTACCCAAACAAAGGCTCTTATTTCAACTACAGCTGCTAACATCCTGGTGTTAAAATTACCAAGAAAGTTGAAATTCATTTCCATACATCCCCCGTTTAAAAGAAACAAACAAACAAGAAAGGTAACTTCAAACTAAAATTGCCAAGTAGAAAATACTGATTTCCTTAACTTACCTAATTTCAAGTTTGTCTACATCCTCCTCCTCAAAGTCAAAGTGGGATTTTTTGCTGTAGCTACAGGGTCTGGTCACCTGATGATATAGATGGGAGAAAAAGAGCCCTTTAAACCACAACCCCTAATAATAACAATAAAATAAGGATAAGGACAGCTAGCATGTATCAAATACTTATTATGTGCCAGGCAATGTTCTGTATGCTTCACATGTATCATTAACTCATTTATCCTCTTAACAGCACAGTGAAGAGGTACTCTGTGTATCCCCACGTAATGGATGAGAATGAAGATAACTCGTAAGTAATAGAGAATTCATGCTCATCACCACCATGTTTTTTCATTGGCTTTGCTCAACTCTCAGGAAGAAACACACCTGAATTAGTTTCCTTTGCAGCCTCAAGCCCCCAATTCTGGGGAGCGTGGGTGTCAAAAGGGACCCCTTCACTCATTGCTGTCGAGTCAATTCCGACTTATAGCAGCCCTATAGGGCACAGTAGAACTGCCCCATGGGGTTTCCAAGGAGAGGCTGGTGGATTCGAAGTGCCACCCTTTTGGTTAGCAGCTGGATGCTTAACCACTGCGCACCAGGGCTCCAAGGAGACCCTTTAGGACCATTTAATCCTCACATCATCCATACAGAGAGAGCACTCCCCTCATTCTGCATATGAGGACCCCCAGGGGCTCAGTCACTTGACTAAGGTCACAGCCATAAGCTAAGGCCGAGTCTCCCCACCTGCACCACATCAGCACATGCCCAGCAAGCATGTGAGTCCCACTATGGGCTAGGCTCTGTGGGTGGATGATGGAGAAGGCATGGTCCTTGACCTCAAGGAGTGCCCAGTCAGATGCCCACCTGAGTGGCAAGCACATGGCAGGGAAATGTGGTTCACTCAAAGTTTAAATTCTCAATCGACTGAAAACTTCCTCTTTTGACAAATCTCCCTGCCTTTCAAGGCCTTGTATTTTTGCTACCAATGCTTCAAAGCAATGCGTGCTTTCAGGAGGAAAGAGGAAAAGGGGGTAGTTTACTGTGGTCCCCAGTGCAGTCACTTGGAGGAAGCTGCTGCACTTTCTCATTACAAGGATCTCAAGATGAGTTTCTTGCATCCGGCTGACAGGAGACACAAGCATTTATGAGGTTTCTTTTTTATCAATGTGATGTAAAAGGTACAAGCTCCCCACACATGAAATCCTCACGACTCAGGAAGATCAAATGAAACACTGATGTCACTGACCAGGGCTGTCTGAAGCCACGGCTTCTGAACTTCCCTTATAAGCAACGTCTAAGGACTTTCAAGTTTTATTTTGTCCCCTAAGGGGTGATGGGAGTGGATATCAATTTAGTTGGGGTTAGAAAAATGAAAGAAAACACCAAAACACCGTTATTTTCCTCTTACTATCTTAGAGACTGTGTGAGTTCCTTAAAACATACAAAGGAACCAAAGAGCTAGACTCAAGTGCTGGGGTAAACTTGAAGCATGGCTTCCTCCCAATCCACAGGGTCCCCGTAAGCCTCGTGGAAGCTTTTATCCTTGCAACCCAGGAATAATAATGTCTCCAGCAGCTGTGCCCTTAGCAACCTCCGTAAATTACGTGCTGTGCACTCTTGTTTTAACTACATAAACCACGTATTAAATTACAGCCAGGATTACAAAGAGGCTTCCTTCTTGCCTGACTGACACAGTTCCTCTTCCCTCCCTCTCTCCTCACTCAAGGGATTAGGTCAGAGTTAATGTTAGTTTAGAAGCTTTTGGCTCAGAGTTCTAATCCAAAATTTGGCACAAAGTCATTATGTGATCTTGCTTTAATTGCTTAACCTCTGAGCTTTAATTTTCCGATTTGTAAATTAGAGGTAAACACTAAGACGCCACTCAGGGTGGCTGAAAGGAACAAACAAATGCTCCAAAGCTTCCATTTGCTACGCCAGAGCATTGCACCCGTCACTGATCACTTGCTGCAGCGGTTCCTCGCAGTCTCAGTCCCAAAGCTCCCAGATGCTTCTCTCCCTCCTGACCTCCACACTCTTGTTTCCATCTGTCTAGTTAACCCCTAAGGAGCCCTGATGGTGCAGTGGTTAAGTGCTCGGCTCCTAACCGAAAGGTCAGCGATCCAAACCCACCAGCCGGTCCACAGGAGAAAGATGTGGCAGTCTGCTTCCGTAAAGATTACAGCCTTGGAAGCCCTATGGGGCAGTTCTACCCTGTCCTGCAGGGTCGCTATGAGTTGGCATTGACTCGACAGAAATGGGTTTGGTTTGGTTTATTTAACTCCTCCACGTAGACCCCCAAATCTGCTTTTCCCTCACCTTCCCCATCTCGTAAAATGCGACCACCACCCACCAGCTACTCCAGTCAGAAAAGTGGGAGTTGTTTTTGACACCTCCTGCCCCTCCTCCACCTCATCAGAAGTTCCATCTATTCTACCTCCAAAATAGGTCTCGCCTCCCGCCACTCACCTCCACTGCTTTTGGTGCCTCCCTCGTCCTAGCCTCGTTCACCTTTGGCAAGCGAGGCTTCTCCAAGGCAGCCATACCAGTTCTAGCTCTGCTGCCGCACCCCACACCAACCATTCCCCTCCATACAGCACAGTCATCTTTTTAAAAACACCAATCAGGCCACTTCGCTGCTTAAAACCGTTCAGTGACTTGCTCTCGTCTGGCTCACCACACCTCGTCACTGCCCCTGCACTGCCTTCAGCCACGGTGGAAAGGCTGGCTCCTCCTCAGCCTGCAGGTGTCTGATGAAAGGTCACCTCCTCCAGGCAGCCACCCCATCCCCCGGCTCCTCCACGTTCTTCTCTACTGGAACACCTTCTCTTGTACCGCACCGTGTGGGTCACGGTGCTGTCACCGGGTTAGCCTGTTTATTACGTCTCCCACACTGGCCTATCAGTGAGGAGACAGCAGGGCCATTTTCTTTCCCATGTGGTTCCCAACCTAACACCAGCACACAGTAGACACCGAATGCATTTGTTGAATGGATAAAGGTGGCTCTTAGAGAATTTAGATATGTAAGGGGTTTTGAGGTGGTGCAAACAGTTTGCATTCAACTATTAACCTAAACGTTGGCAATTAGAACCCAGTGGCACTACAGAAGAAATGCTCGGCAATCTGCTTCCATAAAGATTATAGCCAAGAAAACCCTATGGAGTTCAGTTCTACTTGTAACACATGGGGCTGCCATGAGTTGGAATCGACTCCATGGCAATGAGTTTGGTTTTTTGGTTTTAGTGGTCCCTGGGTGGTGCAAATGGTTAATGTACTTGGCTGCTAACTGAAAGGTTAGAGGTTTGAGTCCATGCAGAGGTGCCTTGGAAGCAAGTCCTGGCAATCTACTTCTGAAAAGTCAGCCATTAAAAACTCTATGAAGCACAGTTCTATTCTGACACATATGGGGTCACCATGAGTCTGAGTCACCTCAATGGCAACGGGAAAAAACTGGAGTTGTCCTGGAAGAAGGTGGCCTGAAGGCTATTTACTTCCTATTGAAATTAAATATCTATTTTTCTCGTTTCTTTCTTGTCCGAGGCTGCCTGCCAACACACTGGGCAGTGTTCCCCTTGCACACTCTCCTTTCCTGGAGGGCTGAGGGGAAGCACAGGCAAGGGCTTGGTCTCAGACTGGGTCAGAGGCCATGGAGCCTGAGACAAACTATGAAGTACTGCTAATAAGCTGAAACTGAAATGAGACAAGGAGAAGCCTGATAAAGGCAGATTTGTTGCCACCAAGCAGGGGGTTGAACCATTTCAGTCAAAGGACATAAACTCCAAATAGCAAGGTTTATTGAGCCCTGACTCCAAAGTCCTCTGGTCTTTGGGCAGATCTGCTCCATAAATGGAGGCCGAAAGCAAAGCAGTTATCTAGAGGACCCTAAACAGCAGGGATTATCAGCTCAGGTTTAAGGCCTTTCCAGGAGTTTTACAGATTCACTATCCAGACCATTGTTTTTCAAACTCATCTCTTGGTTGTGAAATTAATTTAGTGGGTTGAGACCAGCATTTAAGAAAAAAAAAGAAAAGAAAAGAAATACAAGTATACGAAATAGAAAATAACAGTGTACCACTCATAGTATGGGTAAGACTTGTATAGAAATAGACAGGTATAGATGTGTGGATGAATTGGGTCACAATGTAAAATCTATTTCTTATTGTGTGTTGTGCTAAAAATAGAAGTTTGGAAACCACTAATCTAAATTATTCCAAACAGCCTAGACACGGAAGGCTATTGCTGCCTTTAATTCATAATTCACATTAAAAAGTGTTTTCTACATTTTCTGATCAAGAATTCCTCCCTGCCTTTGGAGACCTAGAATGAATCACCCTTGGGGTTAAGGTGAACCACACTGGCTTTCTGCCGTATCTAACCCTCTTAAACATTTTCTTCCTTTGGTTAGAAAATGAGAACTTCTCTGTGGTCCGCGAGGCATGACTTCCATCTGTAACTGACAATGGCTCCTCATCCTCGGCCTCCTGAATCCTGCCTCCAACCCCCTGCATCCCGCTGCCCCAACAAACCTGGTCAGTGACCCTCACCCCCTAAGAATCCTGTGGGCTTTCGGGCTCCTTTCGGGAAAAAATTCAAATATTTTGCACATGAAACCCTTGGTTCTAACCTATCACTCCAACTTCACTTTCCAAAACTTCCCCCATTTTTACCTCAACCCCATTTTGAATTCTAGCTACCCAGTGTTTCCTTCCCAATATCCTATACATGCAGATGGCATCCTTTGTTTGCATTCCCCTCTGTCTGCAATGTGATCCCCCTTCCTACACTCTACTCAGGAGTCAGCACCTCTGAGAAGCTGACCATATCAGGCAGGACTGGTGCGTCTGTTCTCTGGGCTCCCAGAGCCATTTGTTTATGCATCTGTTTTAGCATTTACTGCACCAGATGCAATGACTAATTTGCTTGCACAGCTTTCTCTTCTACTAGGTAGCAAACACCTCAAAGACAGGTATTGAGGTCTTAGGCATGCGTGTCTCCCAGGATCTAGTACATAGGAAACATTCGAGAAAGTTATTGATGGAAGGAACACCTGACTAAATATGTGTGTGCCTTCTTAAAACTCCAGTCCAGTTGTTGTGGAGTTGATTACAACTCACGGGGACCCCATGTGTGTCAGCGTAGAAGCGTATTTTACAGGGTTCTCAATGGTTGATTTTTGGAAGTAGCTTGCTGAGCCTTTCTTCCAAGATGCCTCTGGGTGGACTCAAACCGCCAACCTTTTGGTTAGCAGCCAAGAGTGTTAACTGTTTGCAACACCCAGGGTCTCCTTAAAAATTAAACCAGCTGTATTTATTTGTTTTTCTGTTCTACAAAGTCTTCAGCTGTCACATCTTCCATCTTATTAATCTTGGCATTTCACATTCTGAGAGGCAGACAGAAGAATCTCTGTGTCTGAATGGATTTCCCCTTTTGTGTCAAAAATCATCACTATTTCCGGTGACACAATCTTCCCACCACTGCTCAGGGAAGGTTGGGTGGATCAGCTTAACACAAACAAACAAAAACCCCCAAAGTCCCGATAATTTGGGAAGTATTCATCTGTCAGCATTTAACTCAAAATCGGGCCAGTACAGGGAGAAAACAAAACAGCTTTTCTCTCTAGGAAGAGCAGAGACAGTTCCTGGGAATCAACATGCTGCAGGGCTGGTGAGGGGCTGGCCAGCATGGTCCCGGACATTTCTCATGTGCTGGTACTTCAAAAGAACTTTCGAAAGGAAGTAATTGAGATAGTTCAGATCTAGATACCAAAGTATCTCGGGTGTCGGGTTTCAACTTAACGTCTATCCCATTAAAATACCAACCTCAAAATAAAACACTTCATCAAACTGGGGGTTGTTGGTCTTCTTTTTCACTTTTGTCTTCTTCGCTTCCGATCTGTGATTAAGAGAGGAAGGATTAAGATTAAAAATAACACTGTTGATTCCAACCCTCTTGGTCTTAAGACTGAGCTATTAAATGCACAAGTAACTTACTGCCTGTATTTATCTTATAAATATTTCTGTTTGTCTCCAACTCCAGATGGTATGCAAATTAGGAACCTTCATTGGGCCAAAAATACTCAACGTTAAGAGCATAAAGGATTTCTTTTTCACAAAGCAAATTGAGAGCAACAAAAGAAACAAAGGGAAGTCAAAATTATACATTCTACCTCAAAGTGCTTCCTGCATTCTTCTGAATGAGGTATTATTATCATTACTTCAGAACTGTACTCAGTGACTACTACCCATCCCTACGAGGCCCAAAAATGAAACCCAGTGGGGACAGGTATCATGTGATTGCTACTTGCCTGTATGGTCCTGCTAATGTCACAGTGGCATAAGGATCACACTGTCCATTCACGATGGGGAGACCTTGGCACTCGAAGATGCTGAAGAAAGAAGTGAAAAGGGGACAGTGATCAGGACAAGGAGATGAGATGCAAGGACTAAGAGGTAGACCTTGACCACAGTCTCTTTTAAGGCATGCTCTTGGGTCTAGGAGGGCAGGTCTCTGAACAAGGCTAAGAGTAAAGAGCCATGAATTCTGATGCCATCTTGGTCATTAACTTCCTGGAAGCTTCATATCTATAAAACAATAATGGAGGCATTGATTAACAATTAGAAAACATTGGGGAAGGGAAGGAGAAAGTTTCTCTTCCAGCAGATGAGTGAATGTTACATTCAGTGTGAAACAACCTTGGCTGAGCACAAGTTTCTGGTGACTTACATGATTTACAACACTCTCTTAGAATGTTGCCTTAACCACTACCAGTCACTGTAATGACGACCAGCGTTTACTTACTTACTGCACTCCCTTACTATGAGCTAGGCACTGTTCAAAGTGCTTTATATGGTTCACTCAGTTAATTCTCCAATAATCTTAAAAGTAGGTGCTATGCTTAATTCCATTTAACAGATAAGAAAACTGGGGCCTAGACCAGTTAACTGAACTTACAACTAATAAGTTGCAGAGCCAGGATTTAAACCAAAAAATTGATGTCACAGCCTGTGTACTTACCCTGTATCTCATATATGTCTCTAGGTAGTACTAAAATCCCAGTTTCAGATTTTACTGATTCACTGATTCCTGCCTGCAGGTCGGGGGACCAACTATCTCAGTTTATGTTTTTCTTTGGATTCTTCAACATAGTTACAAAAGCTATTTTAATGTCCTCAGTTATTAATTCTATCATCTCTAGGTCTGTTTCTGTTCAACTGATTTTTCTCCAGTTTATGGGGCATATGTTCCTGCTGCTTGGCATGTCAGTCATTTTCAACTGGATGCTAGACATTGTAAAGTTTACGTGGTTGAGTGTCTAGATTTTGTTGTCACCTTTAAAGAACAAAACTGTTGGGCTTTGTTCCGTAAGCAGCTCAGGTTCTCTTCGTTTAGAGTGATCGTTTCAATTCTTGTTTTAAGTTTTGTTAAGGGAGGCCACCAGCAGCCATTACTCTCGGGATAGTTTATGCCTACTACAAAGATGCCCTCCTGGCGTCTGTACTGAATGCCCTGAGTGGTAGCAAGGACGCTCCACTCTGGCTGGCCAGTGGGCATCCAAATGATTTGCAGGCCCATGTGAGCTCTATGAAGAGTTCACAGCTCCATGGAAGCTGTATCATCTGACCTTCTGGAGTGTCATCCTACACATGTGCCTCCTAGTAATCTGCAAAGACTCCCGAAGCTCCGTGAAATTCTCTCCTTTCCAGAAGCCTGAACCATAATTTCCTGCTGCTTCAGACTCCCTGTACCCCACTCTCTGTCTCCCTGACTGATGTGCCAGACTCTGCTTGAGATACTCCAGCTCTGTGGTCATGAATGTGCCTCCCGGCTGAAAGCTGGAATGACTATATGATTTACCTTGTTTCTCTTCTTTCAGGGATCACAGAACCATGCTGCCAATTGTCCCATGTATGAACATACTTCATTCATATACTTGGTCCAGTTTTTTAATTGTTTATGGTGGAAAAGTAAGTCCAGTTCCTGTTAATTCCACCATGGTCAAAAGCAGAAGTCCTAACCCCAATACCTGAATGTTAAGTCTGCCTACATGTAAATCCATAATCATTTTAACTCAAATATTTGACTATTCAATTTTCTCCTTGCCATGGGGAAGTTGGAAGACGATCAGATTCTCTTATTCCTTTGTAAGTAAGCTATCTGAGCTACTCTGGCCCTCTCTCTGGAAGCCTTTAGCTTTTTTTCTTTATACTTTAGGTTCTAACATTCCACCCGAACATTTCTACATGAAGGGGCTTTTTTTCATTCATCCTCCCAGCACTTGCGCACTACTTAAAACAAGCCATGTTTTCCCATGCTTGAGGGAATTTTCCTTGGATTTTTTTCTCTCTCTAATGTTCTACCATTTTCTTCTGGAACTCTTATTGAGTGGCATCAGACCTCGTGGATTAATCCATTATTTCTACTAGTTTTATCCAATATTCTCAACTCTTTCTTGTTTTACTCTACTTTCTGCAATATTTCTTTGTTTATCTTCCAGAGTACTTAGTTTTCATTAGTTCATCCATTAAACAAATATCTATTCATCCACTATCTCATTCACTAAACAAATGTTTATTGTGTTCTCATTGTATTTCAGGTGTCATTTCAGGAACAGTAATAGAACGGCGAACATGACAAGACATGGTCCCTGCAGTCATGAAGTTCAAGTTCTACTTGGCTGGGATAGCAACAAAAAAAGTATGAAAGTATATCATAATTGCCACATGGGGTAAGTGCAATGAAGGCCATAAACTAGATACGATAATACAGAAAAACAACCCGCTCGGACTCCCTGGATAGAGCAAACAGGGACGTGCACAGCTACTAACCGTAACGTTGGCAGTTCAAACCCACCCAGAGGCACCTTGGAAGAAAGCCCCGGCAATCTACTTCAGAAAGATCACAGCCATTGAGAACTTATGGAGCACAGTTCTGCTCTGAAATACATGGGGTTGCCATGAGTCGGAACTGACTCGAGGGCACCGGGTTTGGTTTTTGGTTTAGTCAACCTGCTCAGGCTCGTCAGGAGGTGCCTCTTGGAGAAAGTGGCAGTTCAAGGTGAGATGTTAAGAACACAGAATCATCCATGGCAAGAGAGGGGAGAACGGAGGATTCCCAGGTAGAGGAGGAGCTCTCAGGCAGGAAAAAGCTCAAGGAGGCAACTGGCTAGTTCAGAAGTCTTAATGAGATCGATGCTCCATCCCTGTTAAAATGATCTGAGTCTAATGAAGACCTGTTGTTTTTTTTTTTTTTAATTAGATTCAGTTGTTGATCAGGAAATTGGATATAAGGTAAAGACAAGTAAGTATATATGGATTTTGGAAACTCTTAGAAATAATGCTGTCAGGACAGCAACTTAGATGACATTGCTAAGTGTCTGTTGTTGTTGTTAGGTGCCATCAAGTCATTTTCAACTCATAGCGACTCCATGAGACAGAGCAGAACTGCCCCATAGGGTTTCCTAGGCTGTAATCTTTACAGGAGTACATCACTCCAAGCTACTGGGTGGGTTAGAACCAACAACCTTTCAGTTAACAGAGAAGCACTTAACCATTTGCGCCACCAGGGCTCCTCATAAGAAGTAATTCTTCCAACATCTTTTTTTTTTTTTTT